GCAGGTTTTTAAACGGTCTAGAAGTGTGTGTGGAATTACTCTGAATTAAGTACTGAATAAGAAGGAAATACTCAGATCGCTGCATGAACATCCGCGCTAGGAAGAATCTTGTTGTGGAAAAAGAGGTCATAATTGAGTTTATACTGTAGGCTCCTCTATGGACCCCATACGATTTCCCTTCTGCTTTTTCCACAAAAACGAATACAGCTTGCCCTCCGGAGACCTGCCGCCGAGGTCTGATTTGAACATGCCGCATGCTCAAAGGAAGCTGTACTCCTACAGAAAATATCGGAAGCCAAAGAAAACGCTGGACGTAAACAATAAGAAATGTATGTTTTGCTTTTTAGGACTTTTCTAGGTTTTCCGCACCTATTAAAATAAAACAGAAACTGCTAGAATATGATAGTTTATTGGCAAAGCTAGACCCAAGTTTGGTTTAGGAGTTAGTGAGGGGAAATACGCTATTTTCTCGAATGCAATTGAATGGAAACATTAAATCGAAATTTCTCTTTTCGGGGCAGTAAGAACAATGGTGTTTCCTTTCCGTTACTAATGTGAAAAGCCGATGATCTCCATGGTTTTATTACTCTGTATCTACTCTTAATTGTCTGTAACTCTTTGACATTTATTTAGTCTCCAATCAATAAGCAAAAGTTGATATTGAGTTCAAGGTTCTTTAACAGTCTTGTTTGCCCTTTGGCAGCACTGGGCCAAATGTATTTTTTGCACGCATACGTAGTCTTTCGGACAGAATCTGGTATATAATATATCACGCGAGAAACGACATAGACACTCTAGTTACCTGTGGGCACATTTGCGCCCCAATAAATACTCTATATTCTTCCATGCCTTTTCGCCCCACTCCATGTGTCCTTCACACTCTGGATTCAATTCGTCCAACCATTCTTCTGCAATGACATAAATTTACAATATAGAACTTCGTTTCAATTTTAGCAATTACTTACCTTCAACCTTTTTGTTGCAGCATAGGCCTGGCCCAAAAGGTCCCAAAAAACATGAACTATCATCAGGACAGCCTTTCATTTCTCTGTCACAACTTCCTGTCGGCTCGGCATTCCCAATACAGCGGAACATCGTAGCTTAAATAGAAGGCCTAACAGCAGTATGTCCGGAAATGAACCTTATTGAATACCTGGTGGACAAGTCTCGTAACAATCCTTTATTGTTTTGAAAGTATTCACGCTACCGCCACAACCTTCGTACAAATACGGGAAACAAATGTCCGTCTCATTATCATGATAAAACTGAGAAAGGACTTTTATGATTGTTGTTCTCTAATAAACTGTTTTTCCTGAAAACTGCTTCAACACCAACTAATTTTGCTACAGCACAATAGTATTTGATTTCCTATAACAATATATCACTCTCTTTTCGAGAGGGACACCTAAACTAATGTTTTTGACAGATTAGAAGTTTGTTTCTTACAGAAACCTTGTTGATTATCCAGCTTTTCTTGTAAGACAAATACAACCTTCCGCTGCTTATAAATAATTAACTACTTCGTGCAAAAAATTTTAATTTCCTTATAGGTCTAACTAGGTCTCTCTTTGTATGTTTACTCACTACCTCCAAGAGTAAGGGAGATGAGTTCTTTGACTTTACAGATTTTTGTACATTTTAGAGTTATTGAGACGGCAAATGAGAATTTGCTTACAAGGGAATGCTTTTTACTCGAAGTGGCAATTCACAACAAGAATATTCCACAATAACAAGTTTATGGAAAATTCAAATCTGT